TCGCGCTATGGGATGTCTAAGCAGTTTACAACTGTAAGCTCATTGCTCCCAACAGTTGGGTACTCATTTTAGTAACCTCGGGAGGATGCAGGCCTGAGTCTAGCCTAAGCCCTGGCTAGTATTGAACCCGCAACCTTGTGGTCTATGAGTGAATGGCTGCAGTACAGGCATTTAACTACTGCGCCACCAGGGCTGCTAAAAATCTACAAGCTTAGACAGGGGATGAGGAATAAAGTGTGTGAGGTGGGCATAACACGGAGCTTTGCTATCGGAAGTTTTGTTAAGTAACTTTTTCCCTTGTGACCACCTTTAAATCTACATATGGACTTTGTCATTATCCCCTACCTCAGTGTAGTACATGAATAAAAACACTGTTTGTTTAGTGTGTGTATTTTCATTCACACATTAATGTACATCCATATATTAACATTTTAAGGAAATAACTTCATTCAAATTGAAACAGTCTTATTCAAATAGAGAGTAAATGAGTGTGTGTGAAAGAAAGTAAATGAGTGTGTGTGTGTAAGAAAAAATCACGAATAAGTGTGTACATATCTGTGAGCTTGTGTATATGAATGTGGTTGTGTGAGAGACAGCATGTGTAAAATTTACATGTGTTGAGTTCAATATTGAATTTATTTAACTCCGCATGTGTAAATTTTATATATACTGTCTCTCACACAACCACATTCACACATGCAAATGTTCCCTGATATGTATACACATTTATTCTTTCTTTCTTTCTTTCTTTCTTTCTTTCACGCACACAATCACACAGAAACATTCTCTTGTGCATATGCAAGTATACACAATTACATATATGAATATGTAAAAAAAACATGAAAAAGGAAGTACCAAGGATGTGGGAGGGAATTAATAATTCTATGACTGTGAGAGAAAGAGTGTCACTGTGTGTGTGTGAGAGAGAGAGAGACAATTAGCATGTGGATCCACTGCCACAGTTTGATAACCACTGCCCTAAAGGCACCAGATCCTCTCGGATCTTGGGAGCTAAGCAAGGTCGGACCTGGTTAATACTTGGAGGGGAGACCACCAATTAATGCTAGGTTTGTTCTTGTGTGTCTTCAAGTTGTTTCCAACTTATGGTGATCCTAAGGCAATGCCTTTAAGCGTCTAACCCTATCATGGGGTTTTCTTGGCATGTTTCTTCAGAGGGGGGTTGCCACAGCCAGGCTCAGAAAGTATAACACACCCAGGGTCATCCAGTGAGTTTCCATGGCTGAGCTGGGATTTGAACCCTGGCCTCCAGCATCAAAATCCAACACTCAAATCACTACACCACACTAAGAGGATGGAATTGGCAAACCTATCTCAGAGTAGTCCTTGCTTAAGAAAACTATGAAATCCATGGGGTCGCCACAGTCAACAAGCAACTTGAAGGCACCTGTGTATGTATGCGTGCACGCACACACACAAGACGCTAAGATAGTAGAATTTGGTTATGGAAATAGAAAATTTCTATAAAGACATGCTGCCCACAATAACTACAAATGTAACTGAGTTTGATGTAAGCTTGAAAGCTTCAGAAGACTATAGTGGGCTGAGAACATGGGCCCAGATCTTCCATGTCTGATATGGAAAGGCAAACATTTTAGTTTTATCTCAAATTTATTGAATTGATACATCATGAAGTTAGCCCAGAGTGTTCCCAGTCAATTTGAGATCAGTTTTCTAAAAAGTAATAATAGATACCTTGGATTGCCTTTAAGCGTCTAAAAGGCTGTGAATAAATCTTAATTATTTTTCTACCTTCAGCCTTTTTTTTAGAAAAGAAAATACTGTAGAAGTGATGCAATCATATGAATTCCAGACCATTCCTTCTCTTAATTAGCCTGCTTTCATCATTCTAATAAAGTTCTCCAAATGGCAATATATAATTTAGATTAATTTATTTCTCCCTGCAAGACATGTTATTCAAGTAATTAGATTTCCCAGCAAGATAGTATGTGCAATTGGTGACAGTAAATGTGAACTTTATGTCAACAGCAGGGAGCAAGGGAATAGAAGAGCAACCAAATAAATATTATTAGGGCCAGGGTTTGAGTACAGTGAACATGGTTGAACATTTTATTTAAAAGGTGTGGTGGCTTCTTCACTACCCTCCAACGTTTCACAGATGAAAACCAGGACCCAAAAATTTAATGGGGAAGAACACATGCAAAGAAAAGCTGCAACCAGTTTGCTTCTGCCAGAGCTTACTGGGAAAAGCAAGAATCCAATCCCTCTTCTCTCTCCTGCCAAATCAGTATTCATGCACCCTTTGACTTTTCTACATTTTGTGTTATAACTTGAAAGTGAAATAGATTTCATTGACATTGCTATCACTGTATATGCACAAGATGCTCAGCACTATACTGGTACAAAATCTCTTTATTGTAGCACAAAAGTTAGGTTACCTTTTTCCCAGTTTGGGACTCAAGATGGCTTACAAAAATCCTAAAACAAGCGAATGCTAAAAGCCTGATGATAATAAAAAACATAATTAACCAAGTTATATTAAAAGCCCGTTAAATTTTAAAATGTAAAATCACAGAACATAAAAATAAAGTTAAAAATATATACACAAACATTGCAGCCAGTTAATTACTAAATGTAAAGGTCGTTGCCTTGTGGTGAAAGGACAGAAAAGGGGACCAGCCTAGTCTCCTATGGAAGAGAATTTCCTATTAAAGGTTGCATCCACACTGCAGAAATAACCCAGGTTGACACCACTTTAACTGCCATAGCTCAATGCTATGGAATTCTGGGAACTAGTTTTGAGGAACATTTAGCCTTTGCTGTCAGAGATCTCTGATGCTACAACAAACTATAATTTCCAGAATTCCATAACATAATTTGTAAGCCATGGCTCAGTGTGGACTAGAACCTGCGCCTCTTAAAGCTAGCACTGCCCTCTAGGCTGGGTCTGAGAGTCATGTAGCTCACATGTTCTTTGACTGCAACTTCCAGCATACTTCTTCATGGCTATACTGGCCAGGTCTACTGGGAGTTGCAACCCAGTGTCTGAAGGGCCACTTGAGTCCTACCCCTGCTCTACATTCACTTGGTCATATTGAAAACATATTAGAATGATTGGACATTGGTTCTGCACCAATTCCAATTTTCCAGAAATTCCATACTTCTATAAGAGCAGCCCTATGGTGGCTTACAAAACTAACAAACAAAACTCCTCATCACAAAATTGAAGTGTTGACTGCAAGAAAAGGAGTTTGATGGGGAAATTTGTCCCCTGAACCATTGGCATAAATGCTGGCTATACTAATTTTAAGTGATTGATGAAACCTGTTTTGTGTGCCAGGGCACACAGTCAAGAGCACTTCCATCCAATCTGACTTGCATTGTCATCAGTTCTGCATATGCTTGCAATCAAGCTGAAGACTTACGTTGTGCCCTGGCAATGCCTGCAATCCCAGCAGACTTTAACAGACCATTGCAGTCACAGGACTCACCATCAGCAGCCTGAAGCGATCCGCCTGGTTGTGCCAGACTTCACATTATCCTTGATTGCATCTTCAGGGATGACTGAAAGGCATCATGTAGAAGTACTTTGTTCACTCCTGCAAATTGGTACTGAGAGAAGTTAAAAAGCACTCAAGGTGCCATAAAGGTGTTTTATGTATATTGCCTTAAATATGATTGGTTAAGCTTGCTTCAATCTTAAGATTGCATTTTTGGAAACCTAACTTAGCTAAAACATCTATTTCCTTTTCCAAATTAGTCTCTCTTCATTAATCAAATATTTTGGCAAGCAACTAAGTGGGCTGCTTTATTCCAGTAATGCTATCTTCAAATGCCTTTTCTTTTAGCTACCTCTTACAACTGAAATTAATACTGAGACAGGGATGCTGCTCAACTGGAACTTCCATGATCCTTCACTTTGGCTATGCTGGCTGAGGTGATGGGAGTTGTGTCCCAAAAACATTTTGAGGGCCACACATTCCTCTTCCTTGAGCAAAAGGCTGTATGAGGGCAACTCACCACATGCATTCTGGCATGCACTTATTCTCCCCTCCTTCTCCCCTTAAATTTATTCCTTGCTTTTCTTTTGGAAAGGCAAGGTATAAATCTTAGAACCATAGACCAATAGTGCATAACACTGAGTTTTTCTTTTCTCAACCCAGCAGGTTGAAAGTTGACTTTTGTTTTCATAGTTGCTTTAATATAAATGGCTAATAAACCATTGCTCCTCTTGGTCCCAAAAGTCCATGGTTGGCTACAACCTAATGGGTGCCTCTTAATTGCATGCATCCTTTATATCATGAGTTTAAAAAAATGGTAATGTGAAAACAGAGATGGGGAACTTGTAGCTTTGTAGGACTCCCAGCTCCCATTAGCCCTAGCATGCAACACTACTAACAGGTGGCCAAAATGCTGGCTTCACTGTTTCTTTTGCTCCCAGGGGTCAAATAATTGCTCCAAAATTATTCCAAAATGCCCCCAAAGTGCAAAAAGGGCATTTCCACTATGTCTGGAGCCCTGCTGATCCTCCCAGGGGTCAAAACAAAATTTTGCACATTTTAAAAAAAATTCCCTTCAAAATGGTCTAAAATGGCCTCCAGAAGCTGATGAGGGCCAACAAACATGCCAAGAAATGCCCCCATGTATCTGGATTTTATTATATTGCTTGGCTTTTCTATGGAATACTTCCAAAGGTTGAATCCAGATACTTGAAGTGATCTGTATCAAGTGAAACTAGGGAGTTGTGTACTGTAGGAGAGAAGAATGAAGGCATTGCTATTTTAACATACTTTTCAGACTGTTGGCATCTACAGATTGTATGAGTTCTCTTTCAGGCAGCAATATGTCTTCCAGTCTACTTTGCTTGTGCCTTCAAGTCATTTCCAACTTATGGCAACCCTAAGGCAAATCTATCATGGGTTTTTTTGGGAGGGGGGCAAGATTTGTTCAGAAGGAGTTTCCTTTGCCTTCCCCTGAGGTTGAGAGCATGTGACTTGACCAATGTCATCCAATGCATTTCATGAGCGAGCTGAGAATCGAACCCTGGTCTCCAGAGACGTAGTCCAACACTCAAACCACTACACCACACAGTCTACTAGAATCCCTCATTTCAAACCCTGTTCCACCTCAAATTCCACATAATTCAATCACAGTGCACTGCGGTCTACATTCTCTTTTGCATCCTTGTGTTTCTCATGCAACTGGTTTGCAAGGCATTTGAGTCACTCTGGCAATGTCATGAAGACTCGGGTAAATGTGAGTTTTTGAATGACAAACAGCTGAGAGACAACCTTAAGCTTGGGTGGCCCTTGCAGCTGTTTACTTACTTTATTTTAAAGGTGGATTAATTTGGAATGCTATATAATAATCTCTAAGAATTCTAAAGGGAATAAATGGAACAGCTGGATAAAAGCAAAAAGACTGTTTTATATGAGACTTTTAAAAGGAAATGCACATGGAGTAGTTTTTGCTCTGACTTTTTTAGATTATGGCTGTACCTCCCAGAAAAACAACAACTGGCAATAGAAGGGAAGAGGGGAAAGCCCACTACCACTGCTCACTCTGCCAGGTTAGTATGCCCTGATGAAGGTGTTTATATAAATTATGCCAGTTTTTACACCAGAAGTGGGCACTTTCAGGGGGGCTAGGGCCCCTGAACATCTGTGGATTGCCCCTGCTCATGCTTCAAAACTACAAATGACCAGGTTATGTCTTTTAAAAGAAGAAGCTTGTTTTGAATCTAAAACAGGTCTTAGAATCATAGAGTTGGAAAAAACTTCAAGGGCCACCAAATCCAAACCCCTGCCATGTAGGAGCACACAGTCAAAGCGTCCCTGACAGATGGCCATCCAGCCTCTGTTTAAAACCCTTCAAAGAAGGAGACTCCAACAATCTCCAAGGCAGCATATTTATTCCTCTTTCGAACAGCTCTTACTGTCAGGATGTTTTTCCTGTTTGGTGAAATCTCTTTTTCTGTAATTTGCATCCATGGTTCCGTGCCCTAATCTCTGGAGCAGCAGAAATCAAGCCTGCTCCCTCCTCAATATGACACCCCTTCAAATACTTAAACAGGGCTATCATATCCCCTCTTAACTGTCTCTTCTCCAGGCTGAACATACCCAGTTCTTTAAGTCACTCTCAAAAGGCAATTTCCAGACCCTTCACCAATTTGGTTGCCCTCCTCCGGATGCACTCTAGCTTGTCAATATCCTTTTTGAATTGTGCCAAAACTGGACCCAGTATTCCAGGTGAGGCCAAACAAAGCAGAATAAAGTAGTAATATTACTTTCTTTGATCTAGACACTATAATTTTATTAATGCAACCTACAATCACATTGGCTGCAGCATCACACTGTTGACTTGTGTTCAATTTGTGGTATAAAAGACTCCTAGATCCCTTTAACATGCACTGT